AAGACCTTCCCGTTTCTGTCTTTCACGATCAGGAAAGTACGTTGCCTGCCCTGCCGGAACCTTCGAATGGTTTTGCCAGAACACATTTTTAGTAGTGCGGTACTCATATTCCATTTCTTCGCCGAATTTCCATGCCTCTCGTTTCTCTTTTGGCTGGAGCAGCATTTTGCGCCTCTCTGTAACACGCCTTCGAAGGGTCCGACCTACTAGACATATACGCCCTATAGGCTGCCTTCTTGGCAGTAACGACCAGTCATTCTATTGTTGTCCACCAGGGAGTCCACTTGGTGTTGCCGCGTGCCACCACACGTCGCCGTTCGAAACATTCTCACTGCTGCTGCCAGGACGCCAGATCGAAAACAGATCCCATGCAGTCTCTATATTTAAAAAATTCCAGCGAGGGAGTCGGGAAATAACTTTCACCGATCGCCCTTACCAATTCGTTGCGAGTTTTCTCATCGCAGATGGCTTTTCACCTCACCCGTTTTGCTACGCATGTGGCTTTCCGCTCTCTGTTCCGGGGTTCCCCCGTACCCGTTATTTGTAACCATTAGATGGTGGTCGGAGCTCAATTCAGTGCCGCGTTTTACCTTCGTATCCGTAACGAGGTTCCACAAGTCAGCCGAAACGATCATATAGTCGACCGGCGACTGCTGGCGCACAGTACCAGGCAGACTGTCAGACCCCCTGTGCTAGGTATACGGGGTGTATCAAAACCTTTTGCTAGAGAGGCACTGACCAAAGGATAAATAAGATAAATGAAAGTTATACATAGTTTTGAAGCTTTATTTTTCCTGAATACAAACATAGATTAAAACCTCGTGTGTCTGCGTTAGCGTCACGCACAACCCTCGAACGTTGAGGGTATGATTTAAACAAATTTCCAAAAAGTTATGTTGCAAATTCAAGATCTCAGAGGACATTGTGAAGGTGCCGAATGACGAGTCCTCGGGAATATTGGTCAAGACGGATCGTCAGTTCTACGTAGAAGGTGTCAAAATGTATTAGTTTTGTTTATATTATTTATCATTGGGTCGGTATCCCCCTAGCCAAACGTTTTGATGAACTTGTGTATGTCCTTTATGTTGGAAGAAGGCGTTATTTAGTCCATTGCTGGTACAAAGTCTGATAGTTTTCTGCCAATCCCATTCAGTGTGAGTTCTCCGAAACGTCGTTTAACCTCACTCCGCGTAGTTTCATCGTTCTCAACTCGCTCATTGAAGTCCCCCATCAGCAAAACGAGGTCCCCGTTCGGGATCTCTTTTAACCCTTTGAGGACAATGAACGCACAGGTACGTCCATACTCCCGAAGGGTTAAAAAAAAAACTCGGTCCTCAAAGGGTTAAGGACCCATCCACTTCGAGGAACGCGTCGTAGTCTGACTCGCAGTTAGGTCCGTAAACCTGAACGGCAGACAGATCCCCGATTCGCTCAAATCTGAGGCGGCTTAGATCGACTCCCTCCCTGATCAGTTTTCATTTGATCGTGCTGTCTGCCCGTCTGGAACTAATAGGCATTCCCTTTACCGCATGGATAAACATAGTTGGGTCTACTCCGTTCCAGAGGAGGGTCCATCCGTGATCTAAGACGATCACATAAATCAAGAGGAAAGGCAGATGATCATGAATAACGGCTCTTCCGTCTTTCCTCTTGGTCGATGCTTGGTCGACTATATCTAGTCGACGTTTACGAATACTAGTCTCCCATGAATTCTGCCTCCTTACCGTGGAGTGTCAATACGTTTCAAATCCCGATATCCAAAATCTAGGTTGTTTACCACTTGTTCAGCTCCTAATCTGCCCTTAAGACATCGTGCCGAAAATATGCAATGGCCAGTGGTAGGCTGACCGATAGGTCTCGATGTAACACGGCGGGGTACGACGCTCCCAGAAACATCCAATTGCCCTGTCCCGGTAGCCAGCTAACAATAGTCATACCGAAAGTACAGCGACTACTTCGGTCCTGATCATCCTGGGCGACGAGCGATTCAATATGAAAATCCTGATCCGAACGCGTCATGCAAGTTTTGATTCGTCTTGGTTTCCCGCAACAGAAGCCCCTTTATCATGGTAGGCCATTGGATACCACGACCTTCCGATACACTGGGGCCCATTCTCGCGACGTGTACGCGCGAACCATCGAGGACTATAGTTTAATCCTTTAGGATACTTGTCGCTGTGGGGACTGACTCCATGATCCAGGTCTTAAATACCGTACTGTAGACCAGTGGTGCCCAACCCGTGGCCCGTGGGCAAAAAATGGCCCTCGAGGTGCTTACAAGTGGCCCGCGAGATCCTGAACCACAATAACTACTCTCAGGTTTCCTTAAAATAGTATCCTACAATACTAGTGACTGCATATGACCCGCTATGGTTGTGGGAGTGAGCAATGTAGCCCCAGAGCCGAAAGGGTTGGGCACCACTGCTGTAGACAGTGTCACTCATTTCAAGAACTGATCGTCTCAAAATTCAAATAAAATTTCATCTGTATCAAAATTAATATATGCCTGTTTTTTTATTAGTCGAAGTAACTTACGATTTCCTCCTCTACGCCATCACAAAACTCCATCAAAGGGGCAAAATGAATAAATGAATGAATACATTTTCAGGATATTGCTGTTTCTGGAAATATGAGACATTCTGAATGTCGACCCTCAATGCATGAAATACAACTATAATTCACCCAAAAATGTTGGAGATCGGGCGGGACATAATATTTGCTCAAATTCAACTGAATCTGAGCGAACTGCATCACATGACTCGAATTTCCTCAAATGCCGAATTTCCGTGAGGCAGATTACGGAATCTGCATTTCCGTAACTCCTAGAACACCTGAATTAGTGTCCTTGTGTTGCTGCAAACGCTTCTGCACAAGGAATGTTGCGTGATGTTCAACTTTTTATCGTTTCAATGTGTTGCAGATGCGCTGACGTAGATGATGTGGCTCATTTTGGCTTCCAATTCAATGAGTCAGACGGAGTTTTGAAATCGAGAGAAATCGAGAGAGAAACTTTCCAATCGGGCTCTTTGTGCTTCCCTTGCTTCGAGGGCTACCGACTATCAGCAGATAGGGCATCTGCCTTAACGAGGACTTGAGGATAACCTGTGTATGTGTGAGAAAAGGGAACAGAAGTTATTTAAAGGTAAGTTCACACCAATCGCATAGTATAGCATAAGAATACCATTGCGACGAGTTGACCGGTGACGATGACCCCATCGTAATATTTGTGTTGCTCTTTCCCAAGTAGTACACTCACGTTGAATCAACGTTGATTCAACGTCATTTCGTCAACGCAGCTAACGTTGAAACCACGTTGCCTGTCAACATTGATTCTACATTGAAAGTTCATTTTTATCAACAATTGATTCAACGTTGACATCAACGGTATATCAACATTGATTCAATGTACAAAACCAACATTGCAACGTTGCTTCAAAATTTGCTTATCAACGTTGACTCCATATTGAAAATTCATTTTC